TGTAGTAAAGTCTTAGTTAAACACGTAGATTAATGGAATGTCAACTAAAATAATAATGATTATTATAAAGCGTAGACAATATTCGAGAACCTTACAAATTATGGATACAATAAATATCTGTATGTTTGCCTCTTCCGGTAGCCGGAAAAATAATTGCCACACAGTAAAAAGTCTATGATTATGCTACTTGCTCTTCATACAGCAATCATGTGATGAATTGGATAATAACTATGAAAATACATTCGTTGTTGGTACGTGATCATCTCATTATTCCCACAGCGCGAGGGAAACCAAGTCAAGAAAGAAAAAAAGTTCTGACCGAGACATCGCATAATCACTTTAGATTGATTTTTACTGAATGAAAGGATTAGAAAATATTCTTTTTTGAAGATCATCTATAGACATTGTCAGACAAATCAGACACCCTACGTATAATCTATGCTTTTGCTTTGCCCTTCCCGTAATTGTCCTCATCATATGAAGATACTTCGTAATCTGCTGGCTCTGGCTTATCGATTTGAAGCTCTTCCCATTTATCTGAAGAAATCGACAGTAACTATGAGTGAATTGATATTTGAACAAAAAACTAAATACGTAGCTAGACATTAACAATCGTTGTAGTTGACAGTTGAAGTGTTCTCTACTGATAATGTCAATATCCATTCTTAGTCCCGATCCTTTTTCATTGCTTCAGTAATACAACTTACCAGTCTCCTCATCAAACGTCGTCATACCCAACACCATTTCGTCTGTTAACCCAGCAGACTCAACAGTCTGACCCGCATCTAACAGGTTATCGCCGTTATACAGCCTTATGTGTTTTGGATCTTTACTGATAATCGAAGATAATACTTTATGTATTGAATAAATCTCGTCTTGGGGGTTTGAAGTAACGAATATAGTCGTTCTGCGGTTTTTAACTCGAAAATAGAGCGACATTCGAAGCAATAATTAATGGGTATGAAATCAAAAGTGGTGAAACTGCCAAAATGAACACATTTGTGCCACTTTCCTTCATGTGATCACATTTAATACGCGCTTATAATTATATATTTCAGTTCTTCATTCACACAATCAATTCGTTACAGATTTTGAATTTGGAACGTTCGGGCGAATCTGACAATATGACGCAAGTATACTTGTTGAAAGTTGGTCAAAGGAAATTCACGGCACCGTGATTAATGATTGCCTCTACCGAGAAACCGAAATAGTTTAGTTACAAGAACTCACACTTTTTATAATCTTACAAGTCTGCATTTATTTATTACGGTCTAATTGATTTGATATCAAACAATATATGTAGCAATAATTTACTTATTATCAAAACCTAATTCGATACAAACTTTTGGAAGGTAGGCACTTAGATTAGAATCTCCTTGCATCAAACTAAAAAGTTTTGGCACTGATTTTTCTGTTTGCGTTAATAATGTCTTTAAAACTTTGGCAGAGCTGTAAAAACTCTTTCACCTCCTCAACGTCAACGGAAACACGCTGTCGTTTTCTGCGAGTATTTAAATAATATTACACATCGTTTACCAGATTTCTTTAGCATGCGTATCAACCATGCACTCTCATATCTCACTTTTTTCTCCATGCTTGAAGACTCTATATACCTCATACTCGTTCACAGAAAATGCCCCACACTCTCCCCGGATTGGCAAGGAGTAACTGCCCTGGCTACAGAACCATCGTTTTGGATATTGATTACTCTGCATCATCAAATCTGGTGCGTTATAATTTCCAAACACGGGCCCTCTTGCGCTGTTATAACAAATAGCCGTAGCCTTTGCTTTAACCCTACTCAAGATTGCATTCTTTACATTATCTCTTTGTAAGGAAAACAAAAAAGCTTCTTGCGTTATAGCATACGTTATCACAGGGGTCGATAACCAATCAATAGGATTGTATCCACCCACAAGTTCTCCAGTTTCGGATACTTGTGAAATAACAACTGTCGGACCCTTGTTGTCACAGACAGAATGAAATACATCTGTTGAAAAACCCTCGCGACTACCCCGAAGAAGGAGAGAAAAGCTGTATGCTTGGGACAGAGACGAAGAAGGGATTTTCCAATGATCGATGCAACCAGAGATCCAAGCGGAAAGACTAGGAGTCAGAAGGGTGGCATCCAAAGAGGGTGGCGCAACTGGGGACAGAACTTTTGGTACGGTAGATGAATCTTTGTTTATGACAGAATCCGCATTTGCAATCGCTTTTTGGCGATGACGGTTATTGTCCTGATTAACACGATTACGTCTTCTCTGTAAGACCTTTTCACCATTCTCCTGCTGTGGTTTCGTATGATATTGTAGTACCTCTTCATACATTTTATTCGGCAATAATTTCTCAAATAGTCCGCGTCGATTCGAAAAATCGGTCGAAGAAATATGGAAGAACCTGATGTAAGGTATAAAATCTTCTAGTACGCTCTTAAGAACGTCGTAGTCTTTCTCAGACCATGTAGATACATCCGAGGGAAGAGACGTTTGAGCAATACACCACCGAAGAGTATAGTCCCAAATGCGCACCTCGCTTAGAGATAAGTCGTCTAGTTGGAGGAGGCGTACGAGTGCAATTTTAGAGAGATGCGGAAAGTCGTCTGCGGATAGAAATTTCTTTGGTGTTTGTATGATCAGTGAAATACACCTGTTTTGTAGTATTGCAAATTCAGAGTTTGTAAATGCTAATTGTTGAGTAGATATAAAGTTGTCTCGTATCCACTCATCATGATCTGTCACTAAACGTTCTTGAAAATATGAACACAAATCTGGCAAACGGAGTGTTTGAGATGAGAGTAGCAACTCGAGTAATTTTGTGGGCGACGTATCTGCTAAAGGCGGGAGAATTCCGGTATAGATATATCTGACATTAAAACAAATGGGCAAAATCAATTAACAAAATTCGGGACTCTTTAATTAGCAAAGCATGCGCATTAAAACATTTTGCTTCTTCATCTTATTAGCATCTTACATTGTGTTTCTTTTAACACTCACTTCAATAAAACCTCAAAATCTCCTTCATCAAAATCATCCAATCTAATCGTTTGTTTACCATTATTCGCTTCATTATCTTTCAATCTGCTTTTAAAATATTCACTTCTGACACTTAATATAATCCCATGCGCTTTGTAGGCTTTTTTGGCTGATGGGTTTCCTATTTCGATAACCACATCGGCTGTATCTCTGACTTCGTAGAGTTTTGTTAAATCTCTTGAAAGGGTTTCGAGATGCTTGGCTGCTATCATATTCAATGTTAGAAGTCGCATCAACCATCCAATAAGAATTCTTATATTCGTACTACCTGATAATACGTCATTGTAAATTCTACGCATCTGATCAAATATATGTAGTTCATTGGTTGTTGTTTACAAGCGCATAAGAACATTGCCAGTGATTGTTATTGTTTTATAGAAAGAAAACCAATGCAAGAAAATGTCTGACATCGTGCAATTCCTAGATTACATCGATCGTTGCCACGTGATAGACATTAGTAATGGCCTTGGGCAATAACCGCGTCGACCGATGTCGTGCTAGATATCTGGAAGCGCAATGATATACTATTTATAGCGTTAACATTATAATAAAGCCACTATTAAGTAAACGCCAATTGTTGTTTTTGTATTTGCAGTCGACATTCTCGATACACATACAAGTCTCCGTGAAGTGGGATTAACCGAGTAAGTAACGCTAGATAAATTAATCGGCTGATATAAGTTTCAAGTTCAACGATAGTAAGTGACGGTGTGGAAATACATAAGACGTATTGCAATATCAATAAACTTGCCGAAAGAATGCCGCCAATTATTCAGAAAAGTAATTTACTCACAGCTTCACCTATCCTTAGCACGATGCTAGATGCAAAACTGAATTCAGTATTATTTCTCTTCGAAGACGCGCCGAGAGAACATTTAATAGCATAAAACACAAGAAAAAGGACCCGTAAGCCTGTCATCAAATTCTTGACTATTGAATTAATGAAATCAAGATCTACTTCAAGTTTAGACCAGATGCTTAGAAAACTGTTCGTATTGCCAAGCATTTACATAATAATAATAATAATCGAGCGCTTGAAATGGTATAGTCAGATGCAAGCAACATTTTCATTATAAACCAGTTAATATTGCGACAGTAGTTTTAAAGATTGGGGGTACATACACAAATTTCATTAGCACTGTCCAATGACAAAAAGCGTTTAATCAAATAGAGAATGGTACACAACAAACAAGACATACAAATGAAACAATGTATATAAACAAGTCTGCATGATGGCTTATTCCACCGATCGCACGAGTAAATTAACTAAGACTTTTGATATATGCTATTCAAAGACTTTTCTTAAAGTTACAAGTCTGTAACGTCAGGCTCGCTTTATGATGCAAGAGAGAAACAAGGTGACTAAATGTTTACTTGAAATTGTACATTAATCAGAAACAACAACGATAACAATAAAAGCCTTTTCAATTAAATACTAAAGTTGTAGTACGAATGTGTTCATTGACATGTAACGAAAAATTATAAGACATCAGAAAAGAGCTTGTGTCAGGAGACTGCGAGCCAACTGGAGCCAACAGAATTACTATACTGTCATTACCCCTTTGTGCTAATTTCCACATTCTAATTCAACTGCCCAGACAGGAAATGCCCTTTACCATTTTCGTCTAAAGCTAGAACGTTCACGGAAAACTGAATTTATAGGCTGGGAAATCATGTCTACTATCCTGCTTGCCTACATTCACGAGTTTAATTTAAAGGCAAGTCCCCCCCCTCTCCCCATCCTTTCGTTCTCGTCTACGCTTTATAATAATCATTATTATTTTAGTTGACATTCCATTAATCTACGTGTTTAACTAAGACTTTACTACA